TGAGAAGAACATCCTTCTTTGGTTTCATTTCTATAAGGTGTTGTAAGTCTTCATAGACTTGGTCAATTTCAGTTTCTTCAGCACCAGTAGTTGGTGCATAAACTTGGATTACTGTGATGTTAAAAGGTCTGCCTTGGATTCGTATCAAGATCATTCTATCATTTTTGAGATTGCATCCCAGTACAGATTTCACCACTCTGTTGACTATGAGAGCCACTCCATTTCTTTTACGGGATTCTTGCCCACAGTAGTAGATATGATGGTCATCCGAACTGAATTCGCCCATTCCTGTCCATTTCAGTTCACTGATGCCCAGGATGTCAACATTAATTCTTGCCATCTCATTTTTGACCACATCCAACTTACCCAGGTTCAAGCTTCTTACATTCCAGGTTCCTATGCAATATTTTTCTTTACAGCATTGGACTTTCCTTTCGCTTCCAAGCATATCTGCAACTGAGCGACCTTTCGGCTTTGGCCCAGGCGCTTCATCAGCTCTGAATTTCCTTGCAGTTCTCCTCCACTCTTCCTCAGTAGCATGTTGGATGCCTTCCGACCTGAGGGGCTCATGTTCCAGCGTTATAACTTTTATATGCCTGTTGTCTTTGTCCATGGAGTTTTCTTGGTAGGGATACTGGAGTGGCTTGCCGGTTCCTGCTCCAGGTGGATCACGTTTGGTCAAAACTCTCCACTATGACCTGTCCATCTTGGGTGCCCTGCACGGCATAGTTCATAGCTTCTCTGAGTTATTCAAGCCCCTTTGCCATGGCAAGGCAGTGATCCATGAAGGGGTGGCTTAGAACATAATCAAAACACAGCAACACATCATCGATTAAAAGCTTCCTGATACAGGGTTGCATTCAGATGTCTTCAGAAAGTTGTGTAGTTGTTTATCTATTTGACATCAGATGAGAGGGTGTTCCACAGGGTGGGAGCCACTACCGACTTCGAAGGCAGCCTGCCTGGTTCCCTGTAACATCACTTCTTGCATTGAGGGAACCGCCAGAAGGCCCTCAGAACTGGACCTTAGTTCGTGGGCTGAATGATGAGGGTGGAGACACTCCTCAGGTATACAGTAGCAGGGCCATTTAGGGCTTTAAAGATCAACACCAACACCAACACCAACACTTTGAATTGTGCTCAGAAATGTACAGGAAGCCAATATAGATCTTCCAGGCTGGGTGTTATATGGCGGCCACTCCTTATCACCAGTCTAGCTACCAGAATTAACCTGTGCATCCATGGACTGATGTGAGTTCAAAATGACCCCAACGTTGTGCACCTGATCCTGATTATTCAATACCTTCTGAATAATCCTATTATTCAATACATGGCAGCACGGCTTAGGTTTGCAAAGTTGCATCTGAACAAACCACAAGACTTCTGCAACAATGTCCTTTGGACAGACGAGACCAAAGTGGAGATGTCTGGCCTTAATGCACAGCACCACCTTTGGTGAAAACCAAACAGCATATCAGCACAAGCAGCTTGGGGTGATGATTTGGGCTTGTTTTGTAGGCACAGGAGCTGGGAACCTTGTAGTCATAGAGTCAACCATGAACTCCTCTGTATACCAAAGTATTCTAGAGTCAAATGTGAGGCAATTTGCCCGACAGCTGTAGCTTGGCCAAAATTGGGTCATGCTGTTAACAGGACAAGGATCCCAAGCATACCAGGAAATCTATCACAGAATGGCTGGAAAAGAACAGAATCAATGACCTAGTCAAAGTCCAGACCTCAGACCAATTGAAATGCTGCACAAGACCTTGAGATAGATGTGCATAAACAAATGCCAGCAAACTTCAATGAACTGAAGTGAATGAATGAACTTTATTACGGTCACAGACCAGGATAAAAACAAAAACAAAAACAAAAAACAAAAACAACATATAAATAAAATAGCTAGGATATTTTTTTTAACTGATAAATGTTGGAGCAGATAAGGACAAAGAAACAAGCATAGGATAAAACATCTGAATAAAATACAAGAATAAACACAGATAATGGATGGATAAAAACTGATAATTAAAACAGATAAGAAATAAAAACAAATAAAAACATGCAGTTAAAACAACTGTAAGAGCGTAAGATCTAAGACTCGCAGTTAAAACAACTATAAGAGGCTGCAGAGTAGAAGCCTCTGAAATGGAGGACAGTCACAAGATTAGAAATTGATGTGCAAATATGGTTAAAACAGAAAATTAAAACAATGTACAACAATAAATTTAGAACCAATGTGCAACAATAAACTATCCCAGGGAGTTGACTCAGAGTCACCTGTGGAACCGTGTTTGGGGATTTTCATGCCGGACTATTTTGAGTTGGGCGATGGTCTGCGCCTACAGATTTGTACACAGAATGTGGCGACCATCCAGGTCTTCGTCTGATCTTTGCCTAACAGCAAAAGGTCAAATTTTTGCTTTTGCGGGAGGTCGGCGAGCCTCACCAGAAGAGGATCAATGAACTTACTACATGCCTCTTTGTAAAAGGGACATTTAAAAAACAAGTGTTCTGGGCTTCCTATGTCCCCCAATGGACAGGAGCAAAGTCTCTGAGCATAGGGGACTTTTCTAAAGGCTCCATCCAGGACCGGCGAGGGAAGAGCCACGCTTCGGGCGAGTGTAAAGGCCCTTCTTGCATTTCTAGATACGAGAAAGAAGAGATATGCTATATCTCTCTCGATTTCTCCAATTTTATATTTGGGGCACCTTGCGCAGTCCTGTTGTCTCTCAGTATCTAATATTCTTTGCCTGACCATGGCTTTTGCCTGGCCCAAGCCCAGACTTAGAAGGGCTTGAGGGGCAAAACCCAGTTTCTGGAGGGTGTTCAGAACTGCAGTCTGCCAGCCTGACTGGAATTGGTCGCAGAGGATGAGTGGGGCTATCCCTCGGGGGAGCAGATTCAATGTCAGCCATTTGTAGATTGATGTTAAGCAGATGCTAGCCTCCACTCTCATCATCCCCGTTTCCAATCTCACCCATGCGTTTGAGACACATCTGGGGATTTGGAGGAGAGCTCTAAGAAGTCTAGATTGAACTCCCTCAAGGGGGGGAGAACGCAGAGGAAGGCGGACCCAAAAAGGAACCATACAGGAGTTGTGCCAAAGTTTTGGCCTTGTATAATTTTAGAGCTGCGGGGACGAAGGAGCCCCCTTGTGCTCTGAAGAATTTAAGAATACAATTTGCGTTTTTTCCCGCTGAACTCCCGATGGAGTTTATGTGTAGTTTGTGGGTTCCTGAGGCCTGTACCACCATTCCTACATACTTGTAGTTTGTCACTTGTTCTAATTTATGGCATTGGAGTTCCCAGCTTCTAAGCTTTGGCTTTTCCCCAAAAGTGAGTATCTTGGTCTTTGATAGTTGATTTTGAGACATTCAGATTCACAGTATGCTGCGAGCTTTCTTAGTCCTCTTTTGAGTCCAGTGGGACTCAATTCTAGATAGAATTACCGCATCATTGGCATATAGCAGGACCGAAATATGCCAGTTTGCAAGCTTTGGCCGGTGGAGTTCTGAGTCATTGAGTGCAGATACTAAGTTATTTAGATAGAAATTAAATAGTAGGGGGGCCAATAGGCACCCTTGCCTGACACTTTTGAAGGTTTTAATAGGGTCCGTTAGGTGTCCTAGGCAGCTGCACCTGACTCTAAGAGCCGTGTTTGCGTGCAGTGCCTGAATTAAGAGCAGGAGCCTTCTATCTATATTGGTACCCTGTAGTCTGTCCCAGAGTCTGGTTCTGGAGACTGTATCAAAGGCTGCTTTTAGGTCAACGAAGGCAGCGTATAGTGAGGCCTGCCCTCCTGATTTGTATTTGTCGATGAGATGTTGTAGCGTTAGGCAGTGATCTGTCGTGGACCTTCCAGGTCTGAAGCCTTCTTGTTCTATTGCCAGGATATCTTCATTCTCTAGCCATTCTGTAAATTTATTAAGGAGGTGCTTTGCGTAGAGTTTACTGATCACACTTAATAGTCTAATCGGCCTATTCGCTGGGTCCCCTCTGTTGCCCTTTTTATAGATTGGAGCAATTATATCTGTTCCCCATTCCCTTGGGATGCGGCCAGTGTCATCTATGTAAGTGAAGAGGGTGGCTAAGAAAGGTGCCCACCAATCCACCTGTGCTTTTATCATTTCTGGTGTAATGCCGTCTGAGCCTGGGGCTTTGGCCATTTTCAGTTGGTTTATATATGATTGCAGAACTGAAGTGATGTGAGAGACTGATAAAGTCCTACAGAAAATGATAGCTTCTTATTGTTGCTAAATGTGGTTCTACAAGCTATTTAATAATAAGATGTACTTAGTTTTTCACACATGGCTTTTCCATATTGTCTTTATTTCTGTTAATAAATGGCACAGTGTAATGTGTCATGTGTTGCTGTTCATCTGAGTGTGTGTGTGTGTATAATCACATTTTTAAATGTGGAATTGTTCCCAATGTAGTAAACATTCATATAGATTTGTTTTGGGATGCCTCATAGGAATCATAGAATAATAGAGTTGGGGTGAAACACAAGGTGCATCTTGTGCCAACCCGCTTGAAGCCGAATCACTCCTTTTTGAGAGCAGATGCGCCTCATGCCTTCCTCCACAGACATCCTATTGGGAGAAAGCCAGCTAATGGGTGCTAGACGAACAGGCCTCTGAGTTCCTGGGCCCTTGACCAGGACCAGCCAGCCACAGCTGCTTTGTTGACCCCTTGGGATAACTCTGTGTACATACAGAGGTCTGCAGCCCACAGGTTCAAATCAAGTGAAAGCTTATCTCTATAAACATAAAAGAGATGTGAATAAAAGAGACATTACTCTTTCACTTGTAAGATTATTTCATGTTTCAGTTAAGCACTTGCTTCCCATTATAAAAGGGGCATTCTGGGAGTATTGCAGGATAGGGCAAGAAAGCACTCGTATGTCTTTGAAAACCTAGGACTTTCTGAACACACAGCAGGTGATGGGTTACTGAGCTAGTGTCCCTTCCAGATAATTAATAAACAATCCAGCACAATTCTGTGTATATCAGCTTAGCTTTAATAACATAATTATTAATGCTTCCTATAACAGACATCAGGTCAGAAACACTGCAACTGTTTTATATGGACTAGTTAGCTTTGTAATGCTTATCAAATCGTTCTGAAAGAGCTCTTAACATATTTCCTGGTCTTATTTGGTATTTATCCCGAAGATTTTCAATTGCAGTCTTTGCCTGTTGAAAGAAGAACAAAGGAATACATTGTGTTATAGGAATATATTGCTAAATAGGTGTTCACAGTTATTAATATCTGTGATGATAAAGGGATCAAAACCAGAGGCAACACATTTATTCCAGATATAGAAGCACAATATGTAACTTCTTTCTAGGATACGTAAATGACTTTGTAGACTGAGATGTGTTGCATGATAGTCCTTGTCTCTCAATCATGAAAAGTGGCTTCTTCAACATGAAGGGTTGGGCCAGAGCAGCCAGGGTGAGGAACCCCCACTAGGAAACTGCTCATCTGTCAGTGAATCCAGCCCCCTGTCTTTATGTTTTTTTTACCAAGAGCACTGTATGAGAATGACAGAGATACAACGAAACATAAGTGCCTTGGGCTGCTTGGTACGTATTAGTTTTCCTGCATGGTTGTTACCTCCAGCTATGTGAGGAAAACTGCAGAAATGCTATTGAGTTATATTTCACTATGCTCAGTGCTATTTTTCCAGAAAAAGAGGTGCCTGAACTCACTATGAACACCTCCCTCGTTCTCTTAGAATGGCAATGGCTAACAGGGCTAGTGACAGAAATCAGTCACCTCCTGGTTCCATGCCTGAAAACAGCACAGCAGGGCATGGGTGAAAATGGAGTAGGATGGAGTCGCATTCACGTGCAGAGTTGCAATAAGTCACAGTGCTTATTGGGTCCCCCACTGGGGGAGCGGGGTTGGAGGGACCCTCTGGGGCAGATTCTGGGGCATATGGTGGGGAGAAGAAGTCCTATTGCATGAGCAGATCTTTGTGCAGTACTACATAAAATGCATAGGTTTTTCATGGTCTCAACAATTTTCGGAGCGGGAAAGCTGATTGATGAACATAATGCACAAAAGTCTATATAATAAACCCTATCTCTGGTCGTATAGAATGAGCAAGTCAGTAGGCAGAATATAATTTATACAACTGAAAGAGAGAAACCAACAGGAAAAGAATATTCTACTTTTTTACTTCCTTGTGTAGAGTTAACTTACTTTTTCAGCCAGCTCTGCAGCTGTTATATTTGGATCATATGGGATGGGTTCTCCAATATATGTCGTCAGTTTCACTGGAAGTCCTCCATATATGGGAAGGTAGAGAAGTCTTGTTTTCTCATATAACCATCTTGTCAACCCTATGTATGGAAGGGAAAAGAGTCTGTAAGAAAGCAATCCCATATCAAATTTGAAATTAGTTGGCATTCTGAGTTTTTAGCAATCCCAATCAATCCATCCCAGACATGAGGTTAAATAATTTGAGTGCATATTTTTAAAGAGACAGCACAATTTTTTCAGATAAGTATACATTGAATAAACTACTAGTAGGTACGAAATAGATTTTTTTTTAAAAAAAATCATTGTATAGTATTAATCTGTTTATTGCCTGATATCAGATCTCTTGATCAACCAAGGAATATAAGATATTTTTCTCACTTGACTTTCCAATGTTCCTGTATGTTTCACAAACGTTTTGTGTAAACATAGGGATGACGGGCTGAAAGAATAAAAGAAGAAATACAAAATCAAAAGAAAGGTGAAAACTGGAGAATTACTGCGCCCCACCTGCCCCACCTTTATTTTGGTACGGACTAGGAATAATGCTCCCCATCTGGCATTACAATGACAAGCCAGACGCAATTGACTTCAAATTGCACATGCTGTCCCCCAGATTTTCAAGAATTGAAGAGGAAAAAAGCTATTTTTCTTTTTAAATGTACCGTATTTTTCGCCCTATAGGACGCACTTTTTCCCCTCCAAAAATGAAGGGGAAATGTGTGTGCGTCCTTTGGGGCGAATGCAGGCTTTCACTGAAGCCTGGAGATCGAGAGGGGTCAGTGCGCACCGACCCCTCCCGCTCTCCAGGCTTCAGGAAGCTATCTGCAAGCCTTGCGAACCCGGTGGGAGTTCTCGCAAGGCTTGCGGGCAGCAGCCTGCAGCCACAAGCTCGGGGGACAGCGGGGAGGCGCAGCGCTGCCAACCCGCTATTCCCCGACCTGGTTTGGAGGCTGCCAGCCCCACAAGCTCAGGGGGCAGATACACGCAAGCCTGGGGAGTCCGGCAGGATAGGCTTGCAGATAGCAGCCTGTTCTGGGGGCTGGGGTCGGGGGAAGCTTGGGGGGAAAATAATTTCCCCCCTTTATTTCCCCCCCAAATATCTAGGTGTGTCCTATGGGCCAGTGCGCCCTATGGGGCGAAAAATATGGTAAGTGACTTCAATAGCTTAAAAACAAAAAGCAGGGGTGGGAAATATTCGGAACTCCAGAAATCATTTGACCCCCAAACAGGATATTTGCCATCCTCAACTACTTAGGATGCTAGATCAAGGATGTCAACACATTATGTCTTATCTAGGATAATCATGAAGGCAATGCAAATTGCACAAAGATCACTCACCACTTTTGCCTCCAAAGCTACCCGAGCGAAACCAGTGCTGTTACCCCACATTATGTTGTAGTCATAACTAAAGTTTGCTTCTCTACCTCCACCAGGGGCAATGCCCAGTAAATGGCCTTTCTTCAAAATTTCCACACATTCAGCTTTATTGAAATCTTTCAAATTGATGGAATTTAAAAGTATCTTCAGCCCTGAAAAAAGAAGCCCCAAATAGAAAGAAAATGCATTTTATATAACGCTTATTTAGGAAATATTGTGGACGCTATTCAAGTGTCATTATTCCAAAGATATTGCACTGTTACAGATCACAAGCATAGTTCTCTGCCAATCCTTTTCAAGTAGGATTTCGTGGAAGTGCTGAGGTGGCCACCTTTTTAGACATGCGTTCCACAAGTCAAGTCTGTAGTACAACTGAATGACATTCAAGTTTGCATTATGATAAAAGTACAGGCCACAGTGCCTTGCGGCATGCACAGAGAGACAGATACACACATGGCACAGATGAGCCCATGCTGGTTGAATCCTGCCTACACCAACATAAGTTCATCTTTTCATGCACAGGTAACTGGGTGGAGATTATATGCTGTGTTAATTCACCCAATGGGCAAATTCACCCCCAAACAGAGCACTCTGTGCTACTGGGCATTTGGGGGCTCTGTACTTCCTTCCTTCCTTATTTAAATGACCCTTTGGTGGTGTCATAGTTCCTTGCTGTGGCTGCTGTGTGCATGCAGAGGAAGATGATGTGTGAGAAGTGGCAGTGGAGGGCCATGAACACTCCAGCAAGGGTGCTACATGGGTTCGATTGCAGTGTCACATGGGGGCATAAAAGCTTTGTGTGGGAGTGCTTGATTGGCCATGTGTTTGGGTGGGGCCATGCTTTCTGGTATCTTTGAACCTGAAGAAATCATCAAGTTGGAGACCCAGTTTCCTACACCTTGTCCTATTCTGGCATTAAAGTCAGAAGCAATTATATGCAGTTACAGCACAGAAATCAGATGTCACTTTATCCAGTTGGCCCCATTTTTTAGATCCCTGAGGAAGAAGGTAGAAAGTAATCTCATAGCTGTTATGAGGCTAGATAAGGTATTCCTGCAACCTGTGATCATGGGCCAAAAGACACAGGTCGACATGCTGTGTTGGAAAGGTAAAGGGACCCCTGACCATTAGGTCCAGTTGTGACCGACTCTGGGGTTGCAGCGCTCATCTTGCTTTATTGGCTGAGGGAGCCGGCGTACAGCTTCTGGGTCATGTGGCCAGAAGGAATAAGCTGCTTCTGGCGAACCAGAGCAGCACACGGAAATGCCGTTTACCTTCCCGCCAGAGTGGTACCTATTAATCTACTTGCACTTTGATGTGTTTTTGAACTGCTAGGGTGGCAGGAGCTGGGACCGAGCAACTGGAGCTCACCCATTTGCGGGGATTCGAACCGCTGACCTTCTGATCGGCAAGTCCTAGGCTCTGTTGTTTAACCCACAGCACCACCAGTGTCCCGTTGGAAACATAGCCTGATTCAAATAAGGTGCCTGAAATCTTATTGGAAGAAGAGGTTGAGGCTGTAAATGGCCAAAAGCAAGCCTGCAGTTTCCAACTTTCTTTTTTGTGTGAACACTCCATCTCATTCTGGGCTCATCCATTGTTGTAACTCAGATGGGAATCTGTCAGGGCAACTTGTCACTGGGAAATGAAGTGAGGCATGCTTTGAGAGGATTGCCCCAACAGCATAGGTAGGGTACAATGAAATATCAACACTTGGTTACGAGTTTTATTTTTCCTTACATTCCCCATGGTCACATCCATCATCTTGCTGATATTTTATTTGTATGTTGTTTTTCACCTGTTTGCCTGATACATGGTTTTATATTTTATAGCATTGTTTTATGTCACATTTCACATATTTTTTGATAAAAAACATGATTTGAATTTAGTAATTTACCTGGTAGCCGATATATGCCTCTATGAGTGACTGAAAAGCACTCTCTCTGTGCCTCCTTAAAAAGTTTAGCGACAAGAAATGAATAGTCAATAGCAGTGGCTGAGTGATAATAAACAATAATCCCTGGTCCTTTACGGAGATGTTCCATGCCAATAACTTCATAACCTGGAAATAATACAAAATGCCACAAATAAATATTACTTTGTGAAAAATAAATGAAATATTGCAATCTTTTATTGGAAGAAAACAGTGCGGTTCAGAAAACTGAAATTTAAGATCAGGTAAAAACCTCTCCTATATGTTTCAGTGTTCTGGATGCTAGTTTGTCATCTATACAGATCAAGACTTTCTCTGTTGTGATCCCAGAACAAATGGTATTCTCCTCTGCTGGAATATTCCTTCTTTGCTTACTTTTGGGTGCAGGTGAAAACATTTTTGCCTAGTCTTTGAGTAAGCTAAAACTGTGACACTCTTTCAATCTCCTTTAAGCATTTAGATGTGTTATAATACTCATATCTTCAGACCATTCTCTGAATCACTTTATACAAAGTGAGAAAACAGTTTCCCAGACAGATGCACCCTTGACCAATGTCCTAAGTAGCCACAGGGTTTCATCCTTATGACCCAAATTTGGTTTTAGTAATGTATTTCTGATTTATGCTTCAACATCTAAAGCAACATCACTCTGGGAAGCAATGAGAACATAAGATGGATCCTCTTGATTAAGCCAAAGCTCTCTGTATTCCATCATCCGGTTTCTCGCAGTGTCCATCCAAATTAGCAGCCATCACCACATCCTACGCTGGCAGATTCCATGGTTTGTGTCCAGAGTTTATGTTTCAGAGTTACCTAGTGGTTTACCATGCTCTGGAAAATGGCACCATCAAAGTCTCACTGCACGATGATATACTCATTACATTCGCTGCATACTCACTACACGTTTAAACCCAACCCCCTTCTCTTGCCACAATCCATGAAACTATTTTTAAAGATCTTTGCTAATTAAAGCTCTGTGAGGTGTAAGCAACATTCTCCAAGTTTCTTTTGGAGAGGAGGCATGCTTTCAATGTGATTAAATGTATGGTGTTTATGCAGCCACCAGGTGACCCTTTCTTCTGTAATATATCTTAATTTCATACCTCATAATATGTTTTGTTTTTCTTTTTGATTGCTTATTACCTAAAAAAAATTCCATGCCTTTCTTTTGATCCATATGGAGCCAAGGCCAGCTTGGAGCTGTGGTGACTCTGAAGTGGGTTTAGAGGTCCACTCCTGATGCACTATAGCAACTACAGTGGTGCCCCGCAAGACGAACGCCTCGCAAGACGGAAAACCCGCCAGACGAAAGGGTTTTCCGTTTTGGAGGCGCTTCGCAAAACGAATTTCCCTATGGGCTTCCTTCGCAAGACGAAAGCCCATAGGGAAATCTCCGGGACAGCGGGGAAGCGCAGCGCGTCTTCCCCACTGTCCTCGGACCTCCTCCGAAGCCTGGCGGCGGGGCGGGGACACCTCCTCCCACCGCCCGGCTTCGGAAGGATGCTTTGAGGCGGAGAGGTTTTTTAAAAACGCCGGGACAGCGGGTTTAAAATCGCCCCGGGCGGCGCGTTTCTCCACTGTCCCGGAGGGCTTTTGAAGGCAGGCGGGGGGAGCAAAGACTTTCGCCCCCCGCCCGCCTTCAGAAGAGGTCCTGGACGATCTTAAAATGCCGTCCGCCAGCATTTTAAGATCGCCCCGGACAGCGGAGAAGCCCTCCGCTGTCCCGGGGTTTTTTAAAATGCTGGGGGTGGGAAGAAAAGCCCTTGTCCCCCCCCCCAGCCTTCAGAAGAGGTCGGGGGACAGACTGTCCCCGGACCTGGTCTGAAGTCGGTTTCCATAGGAACGCATTAATTGATTTTCAATGCATTCCTATGGGAAACCGTGCTTCGCAAGACGAAAAACTCGCAAGAAGAAAAAACTTGCGGAACGAATTAATTTCGTCTTGCGAGGCACCACTGTATTGACCCAATGTCTCAAGTCTGAAATTCTGATGCTCAATCCTATGAAAGTATAGGAGCTGATAAGACTGAATTATTGGAATGAAAGAAAGCTTACTCACCATACCATATCTTTCCAAATATATCACAAACTTGAGCAATAATTTTCCTTGGTTTTTCCCAAAATTTGCTAACATCACTTTCTTGTTGGTTATTAATCTTCTTGTAAATATGTAACACAAATGAGAGAGCCCAGAGACACAAAACCGTACATATGAATGGTGAATAAAGTAAAATCAGAAGCTTAAGTAACCACAAAGGGTGAACCACTAAGGCCCGATATTCTTCCAAATAAGAAAAACTGATCCAGTTTTCCAGAATTTGAGAAAACCAGCTCATGGTTTCCTAATCTGAAGCACCACGTGTATGCCAATGAAAGAAATATATGAAGTGGAAATTTCCTCAGTTGTGATGGTATTTTTTTCAACTGTTTACCTGGAAAACAGAAAATGCAGTACATTAGTTTGAACTGTCATCCCAGAAGCATTCATGATTACATGAAATCTCATGTGATTTACCGTATTTTGCGCCCCATAGGACGCACCGGCCCATAAGGCGCACCTAGTTTTTTGGGGAGGAAATAAAGAAAAAAAATTATTCCCCCCCCCAGGCGCGGGGCTGGGGCGGGGGAAGCCCGAGCTTCCCCCGACCCCAGCCCCCAGAACAGGCTGCTCTGCACAAGCCGTGGGAGCCCTCCTGCGGCTTGCGGAGAGCTACCCAAAGTCCGGACGCGACTGCCCAGCGCGCCGGGGCTTTGGGATAAGAGGCGGCTCTGCGCAAGCCGGGGGAGCCCTCCCGCGGCTTGCGCAGAGCTACCCAAAGCCCTGGTGCAACTGCTGAGCGCACTGGGGCTTCAGGATAAGAGGCAGCTCTGCGCAAGCCGGGGGAGCCCTCCCGCGGCTTGCGCAGAGCTACCCGAAGCCCTGGCGCAACTGCTGAGTGCGCTGGGGCTTCGGGATAAGAGGCGGCTCTGCGCAAGGCATGGGAGCCCTCCCGCGGCTTGCGCAGAGCTACCTGAAGCCCCGATGCGACTGCTCAGCGCGCCGGGGCTTCGGGATAAGAGGCAGCTCTGCGCAAGCCGGGGGAGCCCTCCCGCGGCTTGCGCAGAGCTACCCGAAGCCCTGGCGCAACTGCTGAGTGCGCTGGGGCTTCGGGATAAGAGGCGGCTCTGCGCAAGCCGTGGGAGCCCTCCCGCGGCTTGCGCAGAGCTACCTGAAGCCCC